GTTTCATATGCAAAAAAAATTTTTGCGCTAGCTTACGTGGTTGCAGTGCTACTGGGATTTAAAAATAGTTACGCATAACAGAGCGTGTCCGCTCCGATCGGCTCTAAAGGGTTAATGTATTTATTTTAATTTCAATTCAGGTTAGATTTTTTTTGTGTGCAGATATTGTGCCAGCAGTGCGCGATTGTACATGCGTGCAGCTTAGAGGGAACATTGGTTATAGCGCGTTTTCATGTGGTTAATAAGGCATGTGGCGCCATAGTGTAGTAATTTTATTCAGCCACACGATGGCACATTTAATGATGGTTAGACTGAATTTCTCTGCTTGTAGTATGACATTACCACTGTGTTTAATCTGAGTTCTCTGTATGTTACTGTTGAACCCAGTAATGTAATATTTATTGCTTTATATATTATGTCATGGACATTATATGGATAGTTGGATGTGTAACTGTATCTTACTTTATATTTTGAGTTTATATTAGTTTAACCAGTGTTGCTGTAATATATTTGGTCAAACGGCAACTTATTATTTACTACAGACTATTGGCAACATTGAGCATTGAAGTGACGATAAACCAGCTGACTGTGACAGTTCAGCAAAGTGGAAACCTCTTGTCCTCCTTCCTGTGTTCTGACTGACACACCATCTTGTTAGCTGTTGAACCTACACCACCCCTCACCTATTACTCCTCAATAAACACAGAGGAGAACAACCATTCACATCTATGAGCAATTCAGAGTAATCTGTAAACCTAAACTCCTTAACTGCAAGTCTTTGGACTCTGGTAGGAAGCCAGATTATCTGGACAGAACCCGTGCAGACACGGGGAGAACATGCAAATCCCAGCCAGATGGTGAATTTGAACACAAGACTTTCTTGCTTCTTGGAAATGGTGCTAACCACCATGCCACTGTGCCATGTTTCACGGTTTTAGATAACTGACAGCCTGGAATGGTCATTAAACAGCACTGGTTAAACAGTCTCGGCAGTCTCTGCACTTTGCATTTTGGATGAGGAGAGCACAGTTTTCTCCTCCATCATCTCCACTTCCTACTGAGGCAGCATCAAAAGTGTGCTGAGCAGCTGTGTCTCCATCTGGTTTGACAGCTTCAAGGCCTCAGAGACGAAATCACTGCAGAGAAGATCATCAGGACTTCTCCTCCATCCATCCAGGAAGTCGAGCACAGATGCTGTCTCAGCAGAGTCCATAACATCATCAGAGAAAGTTGCTACATTTCTGCAAGTCAGTACTTTCTTTGAATGTCAACATGAATTATAATTTTGTTCAATGTATAGAAAAAGTTCCTGTTTCAGACATTTGTTAACAAATAAATACTCCACATTTAGACTTTTATGCATAGAAAGCTGGGAACAACATCAGATCCAATTACAAAGATACTAGCAAAATGAGTACTGACAGCTAAAAAATCCCCAAAAACATAGGGTCCCCTTCTGGCTCTGTAGGGAAAAAACACCTAATAGATGTAAAGCTGTCATCAATAGTAAAATACAAGTGAGGTGTTTCCACTCTCCAGCCTCAGGGACCTGTATTGCTGCTCTCCCATTGCAGCATTGTGCAAGGATGACAAAACAGAACATTTTGAACTTTGAACAAGTGACACGAACTTGAGATTTTTCTTTTTGTTTCTAGCACCTCAAACAATAACAATCAATTTTCTGTACTTACTAAAAGCAGTATAGCGTCCTGAGGGTTTAGCGGTTTACATGCCAGGTGCAGAGCTGAGTGCTGTGAAAATGTGTGTGGAGTTTTTTGACTTGCACCCCTGTTTAGGAAAAAAGATCCTCTGCCCGCAGCAGTTGGTTTAGCAGAGCCTCTGAGCTTTCCAGGGCAGATTTTGATCTTGCTGACTCTTGGCAGATCCTATGCACTCTACACAGTGCCTAACTGAAACAGCACTTGGGGGGGCCAAGTGACAGAGCGGCCGCTGTGGGAGCATGCTTTCCAGGCTGACCACCTTGAGCCGTACAGGAGGCAGCTGCTCCACGATGCAGTGATAGACCCGTGCACTGTCTTCCAAACAAGCTTCCTCTCTTTATAAAAAGTATAAAAAGTAGATAAACAAATAATGAACAGATTTATTTCCGATCTCCTGCTGAGGCGAATCCCACTGGATGATAGAATCCACATAATGGAATCTATCATCATTATCCAAGCCGAGCAGAAAAGCACAGACTTTAAATGAAATATTTTGTTTTTGTCCCAGGGGTAATAAAGTAAACGGCTCGAATGACTACAGTCTTTTTAAGCCAAGGTCAAAGCTAATGATTGGGTATCTAAAGAACATTAACTGACCTCTACTCACACTGCTATGCAGCAAAACTGAGCTTTAGGATCTTGGCATCTGTTACTGGTGGCTAATGATAACTGGAGAGCTGTTTAAAACCTATTTAAACACTAATTATCCTGGCTTGTTTTTTGTTGTGTGTTTGTTTTAGTCAAACAAGGAAATTATTAACAGACCTGCTCCTCTGCAGCAGCATGCACTGTATCATGACTCAGTTCTCAGTCATGTTCTCAAAGTGACCCAATCTGTTTTTCTTTTGCAGGTTTTGCACAACCCGAAAGCTTTAAAAAGGAGACCTTCATTATAAGAAAACAGTCATGCTTTGAGAAAAAAAAAAGAAGAAAAGAAAAAAAAAAAAAAAAGAAATGAACATGTCAATATTCTCACTCTTGTCTTTGTCTCTTCGCACACAGTTAATCACATCAAACGTAACAATAAAGAGAAGCTTTAAATCTCACTTCACTCAGTGCTGTTTGATCAGCTGTGTGATAGCATCAGTACTTAATAAGGAACAAACTCAAACAACATTAAATGCTGCCAGTTAAAAAAATAAACATTATTCTAAATGTTTCTTCAGCTTTTCTGTTTTTGTCTCTTGCTGGAGCTGATCGATGATTTCAGCATTAATGTGAAATATTACATGAAGAAACATGTTTAAGACACAATAATGAAATCACAACCAGAGTCACATTAAAGCTGTATTATGTAAATATTTGCTGTTTGATGAAAATAAATAATGTAGAAGTATCTGTAAATAAATGAGGGAAATATGGTAAATGGACTGGTTCTTATATAGTGCTTTTCTACTCTTCTGAGCACTCAAAGCGCTTTACACAACTTGTGCATTCACCCATTCGCACAAGCACATTTTTCCTAGGTGCTTTCTAACTGACATTCACATACATTCATACTCCGATGAATGCATCGGAGAGCAATTTCAGGTTAGTATCTTGCCCAAGAATATTTGGCATGCAGACTAGGGGAAGCCAGGAATTGAACCACCAACCTTCCGATCAGTAGATGACCTGCTCTCCCACCTGAGCTACAGCCACCCAAATATCTCAGTTTGAAAGTAGCGCCTTCCAAAATAAAAGTATCTTTTACTTAAAAAATAAATGCACAAAATCGAACATTTATCAAATCTGATTTTACACAATAAAGAAAATATTAAACATTCACAGTTTATTTACTATTTTATTAAACAGAGCTGTACTTCAGTGTCATTAACATGTTTTTCGTGCGTTTGTTTGAATAGTTTAACTTGTTGGAATCAGTTTTACTTTTTAATGTAAAAAGATTTTTTTAAAAAGCAAACCTGAGTTTTGAGTTTTGCTTCTTGTTCCGCGTTCCTTTTCTTCTCATCCTGGAGCTTGTTTTCCAGCTGCAGACAGGAGGGAGAAACATCACAGCTTTTAATAGACACCCATGACAAATATATAACAAATGACCCTTTAAAGTTCTTTTCGAAGCTCTTCCTTCTCTGTTGTTCCTCCTGAAGTTTTTCAAAGTTAGTGAGTTAATGAAGACAACATAACAGCAGTACTTTACAGTACAGCCTGGAAATAACCAGGTGTGATGAAAAAAAATAATAAGTGAAAGAGAGAAAGTGACAATAAAGTGAATAGCAAATATCATATAAGCCAGGGTTGGGTCTAACACATGGCTGTAATCACATTACATTCTGCTGTAGTAAAGTGATGTCACACATTAGTTTAATACATTTAGTAATTACATTATAATTACAGTTATGTCATTAAATATGTTACAGATGTTCCTTCTTTTAGTTCCTGATCTTCAACAGGAACTAAAGTAATGATGAGGCTTCTGAGCTTTGTAGTACTGCAGCCTTCACTTGTACCTGTACCTGTTTCTACAACAGGATCAGCGAGATCATCTCTATGAAGTCTGTCTGTGCTGGTTTCCAACTTTGCTTTGTGTTGCCAGATTCTGTTTTACTTATACACCAAATTGCCTGTGTGTCATTTAGCGGTTGGAAGTAACAAAGTACAAATACTTGTTTACTTTGTTATAGTATTTGAGTAGAATTTTCAGGTATCTGTACTTTACTCAAGTATTTATTTTTCTGACAAGTTTTTACTTCTACTCGTTACATTTCTAAACAAATGTCTGTACTTTCTCCTCCTTACATTTTCAGAAAAGGCTCATTACTTTTGTTTTAACACATTTGAGGAGAGTTATTTGTTATTTCACGTCACTCAACAGTAACAAATGAAACTCAACCCTGTTCCTGTATTTATCATGAGGAGATGCAGCATAAGAGATGAAAGAGGCAAAGTCAGGGGCTAAAGAGGGCCAGTGTGGTTTGTTGTGTGATTTTTGGCACAGGACTGGAAACACTGCAGATGTTCACATTACGGTCGTGGTGTGTCGGCATCTACTTAACATTATAAAAGAGAAACAATCATGAAGGGAGTCTTTTATTTTTTCATTTTTCCTCACCTGAGCCTGACAGATCTAGAGGAGAACAGTTAGCTATGAATGCTATTGGTTAGTTGATCATCCCTCTGAAACTGGTAAGCAAACTGATCCCCAGGGATTTACATCCCCAGGACTTCCTCACTCAGTGAGAGTGGGAAACAGCATCTGCAGCTTCATTTCTGTCTCCATCGGCTCCCTGCAGGGCTGTGAGCTGAGCCCACTGCTGTTGATGCTGCTGACAAATGACTGCCTTTAATAACATCATCAAGTTTCCAGATCACGCATCAGAGACGTGTCTTATTATGGACAACATAGATCTGTCCTGTAGAGAGGAGATGAAGCGACTGGTGGACTTGTCACTCACCACTGACAACACTGTGCAGGTAGTCAGCAATATCAAGTTTCAGGAATTACAGAAAAATGATGGTTTGGACTGGTCAACACATCAGCACTGGTTAAACAGGCTCAGCAGCATCTGCACTTCCTGCACTGGATAAAGAAATTAGAATTACTGATGGAAGCGCTGAACATCAGCATTGAAGGCAGCACTGATCTACCCCCAAGTACTGCTATTATTGCTTCTATGATGTTGTAAAAAACAATACACTGCTTCTTGCATCCCTGCTGCTCCAGATACTTACTGTGTAAAGTGAAAATTGACCCCACAGTGAAGAGTTCATCAGAAGCTGTGACGCCTCCCATTTGCTGTGGGGGCTTCAGTTTCAGCAGAACTGGATCGTTTACTCAAAGCTGGTGTCATCGAACAAATTTATGCCTGACCATGGGTATCACTGATCATGGTGACAGGACAGAAAACTGGTGGAATCAGGATGTGTGCAGACCTCCATGAACCAAACAAAGCTGCTATTGCTGATTGCTCTCCTTTATCAAATACATACAGCGGGGAAAATAAGTATTTGACACATCAGCATTTTCATCAGTAAGGGGAT